GGAAGTCGGGCCGCGGCTGTGCTCCGCACCCGGCAGGGCGGAGAGCCCCGGGTGCGAGCCGGCGGGCGCCGCTGCACCGCTCCGGGGGTGACAAGTGTCCCTGGGAGGACCTAGTGGCCAAGGCAGCATCGCGCCAGGCGGCCCCTCCTCCTGGCCCCGCGCGGGCCGCCGCACCTTGGAGCAGCCGATCTTGGGCGCCCATCCCGGCTGGCACCAGGTAGAGTGGAACCCAGGGCCTAGTTCCAGAGCTGGAAACTACGCTCGCCACGCAGCGTCCCCTTGCCCGGGGGGCTCCTGGGTTTCCGAGTGGAAGCCTCCGACCCCGCACGTGGCCCAAGGCGGTTCCGGCGCTGGCCATGCGGTGCGCCTTGCTCCCTGCTGCTCCTGGCCTGGGGACCAGCGGGGCTGTCAGCCTTATCTTTACGGGCTTTTCCCAGCCCCAACTGGCCCCGGCCCCTTTTTATCTCCTCTGTTGCACTTGGCTTATTTACTTTGTGAGGCCCTGGGAGCCGATGTCTAGGCCCTGGGATGGGGAGGCCAGTGGACAGGAGGGGTGAGGGGCCTGGCCTTTGGAATGCTCAGAGGGATCCAGGGGAGAACAGAAAAGGGTAGGAAGAGAAAGGGGGAACATCCCGCCACAGACACACATATAGCGAGGCAGCCGGACATACAGAAAGCACCACCGGCACTTGCCCAGACCCAGAAGAAGGGAGAGGCGCAGGGAGGCAGAGGGAGAAGCGGAGATAATTCAGGTTAACACCCGTGATGGAGGCAGGACAGGCAGGTCCTTGCAGGCTGGGCTCTCAGCCTGATAGCCCAGGACCAGCGGGCACGTGGGCAGGCTGGTGAATAGTCCTAGACAGTTGGGAAGGATGGCTGTGCCCTGGGGCGGGACTAGGCTGTGCCTGTGAAGGGGACTCACCCAAATGGCCTGGTCCTTAGCTGGGAAGGGCCTGGGTCCCTTGCCCCAGAGCTGAGCCCTTTGGAACTAAAAGTGTGAGGAAGCCAGTGCGCGTGACTGAGGTCAAGGCTGGGGAGGCTCCTGGCTGAGTTCAGGGCCTGCCTTAGGAGAGGGGCTGCTTGGGGGACCAGGAGGCTGTGGCAGGGTGCTGTGGCTGGGTGTGAGAATGTGGGTGATGCGTAAGGTGACTGTGGGAGTGGGAAGGTGCAGGAGTAAAAGCCTTTGAGTCTCTACCTGACTGCTGTCTGAGTGGGTGAAGGCAGATGGGTGAGCAGGGACATGGGGCTGCCCAGCTTTTCTGAAGGTGTGGAGCCCAGGAGCCTGGGTCCTGCCCTCCTGGCCTGGTTCTCCTCTCCTGTCCGCCCTGGCCCAAAACTGAGCCTAAACACAGGTTACCAGGGAACAGCTGAAAAAGACCCAGGCCTTAGGCTCCACTGGAGCCAGGCAGGAGGGAGCGAGTGGGGGTACAGCTGGGGCCATGCCGAGAGGGCGGTCCTTCCCCCCCACACCTACTCATCACACAGCCCCACACCCTGGGCAGGCAGACCTCGCCGCGTGCAGACCCTCCCAGGTCCAGAACCCAGAAGGAGGCCAGAGGGAGGAGGCGAGGGTCCCGCCCTGGCATATTCTCCCTCCCGCAGCTCGGGAGGGGGCGGGGTCCACGTGCGCCAGGGCGGCCTCCCCAGCCGGGCCGGACGACACCCCGACCCCCACCCCCTGCTCTGCACGAGAGGACCACGGGGGCCTCTGGCCAGTGCGGACCTGGGCATGTGACTGGTGTGTGCTGTTCCCGCAGGAGATGCTGCAGGATAAGGGCCTGTCGGAGAGCGAGGAGGCCTTTCGGGCCCCGGGCCCCGGGCTCGGCGAGGCCAACGCCGCCAACGCCTCTG